AGTTTGTAAGTCAGGGATCCACAGTATCTGAAGAGTCAGTGGCAATAAGGCCTGTATCCCTCATGTCTCACTGTTAATGAATTGTTTCCAGCTGATATCCTTATAATCTGCAGGTGCTGTTTACCATGTAATTTTACCATAGGAAACAAGGGTGTAATTATTTAATAAAGTGTAAAGAATTAGATTTTTCTCCCTTGAGCAAAATGCCTGGCTATGGCAAACATTCCTGATGCCTCCTCCCTTTTTCATTAGGAAGGCAGTATTCTAAAAGAGAGGGCTATTTTGTTCATATTCTGCTACTTGCCTCTGGAGGCCATGCTAATGAATTCAAAACTAAAGCTAGAATTCCAGATTTCTTGTATGAGTTGCCATTGATTTTTATTTTTACCAATATGCTATAGAAAGGACAGTTTCCCTACGTATCTCCAACTGAAACTCAAAGGCAGTATAAATATAAAATCTCTTTCATTTGAACCACTGTTTTGTGTTTTCTTCTAATTTTTATTGAAAAAATAGAAAATGTTCAAATATAGGCAGTCATTTTCTAATGAACACTTGACTTACAAATATACTGTACCTAACAAAAGCCTCCTCTCTTGTGAGGGACTTGGAGCTATTTCCTACTGCTCATGGATGCTGGAGTTGTTTCTGCCCCTGCAGAAGTTTCTCCCTTAGCCCTCTTCTGGGAGCTTGAGTTCTCCCAGCCTTTCATGAGACACTTTGAAATAGTTCATGTGTGAGGACCTTCCCCTACTGCCACCTCTTGCCATAAGAAGGTAAAAGAGCCCCTGCCTGGCCTCCCATAGAAGTGCCCTCATGAGAGAACACAAAGAATATAAAGGGAACTCTGGTTAGTTTCTCTATTTGTGTTTTTTAATTATGGGACAGTAGAGGATCAAGTATCCTTTTCTCTAGGAATTACATCGTACTGCAGTAACATACTCATGTAGAACTGCATTATATGACAAATTCAGTGTCCAGATTGTAGCCAGGATTAAGTAGTAAACAAAGGACCTTTAAACCACCAGAGAATATTCTCTTGCTTGTTGGAAAAGTCTTTCAAAACTATAGTCACTGCCTGTTTACTCTGTTTATACATGAGTCTAATTAGGTATAACTAGATATCAAGTTTTCAGTAGATTGTAATTAGCTAATTTGAAGGGACCAGAAAAGATGTTGGAGGCGGGTAAATGACCACTAATTCACAGAAACCAAAGGGCTAAAGTTAAAAATGCTGACAATAGCAAGTCTTGGTGAAGATTCAGAGCAGTGGGACTCTCATCCATTGCTAGTTGGCATGTGAAGTGGTACAATCTCTCTGGAAAACAGTTTGCACTTTCTTATAACAAAAGTTGTTACAGAGTAGCTCTTTCTATAAATAGCCTTCCAAATAAACCAAGTTTTGGTGTGCTTGTGTGTTCTTCTGGAATTGGTTTCCAGGTTCTTCTTGATTCAAAGAAAGAATTGAAAGAAACAAGAAACTAGCCAAAAACAATGACCAAGTTTATTTGAAAATTGAAGGGTAAAGGAGAAATGCTCTGCAGAGCAAACCTGGGCCGAGCAAAAGAAGGGGGGAAAAAATCAAAATAAAAAAAAAAAGATACACTCTACGGGATACAGGGTGGAATACTATGAGGAAAAGCCACAGTAGCAAGCTCTTCATGGCTTCTGTGTCCTTTTGTTCCATCCACACCTCACAGGAACCCACAGGAATTTCTGCAAACACGGTCTGAAGAGGCAGTTCTGCATAGATTCTGGGATCCCACCACACCTCCCTTCCCAGCCAGTCAAAGACATGCCCTATCTCCTATCACAATATATAACCCAGAGGTTGGAATCATAGGTGTTTTAGTGAAAACATGTTCAAACACTTTTATGTGAATGTTCATATCAGCTTTATTCATGATAACTCTAAGCTGGAAATAACTCACATGACTATCAATAGGTGAATATACTTAAAAAGAAGTGATAGAGCCGTACAATAAAATACTAGTTTGCAAGTCAAAGAAATGGATTGATAAGCAACAGTAAAAACAAGTCTTGTGGACATTATGTTAAAAATCATTCTTTTTAAACGTATGAAAAATATTGTATGACCCTAGTCTAGAATGGGGAAAACCTGTTGATAGAAATTATAATAGTGGTTGCCTTGGGGAAGAGTATACTATAAAATGTTTGGAAGGGGCATAAGGAAAAATTCTGGGTTATGGAAATGTTTTATATCTAGATTTTGGTGGTAGTTACAAAGGTAAATGCATTTGTGAAGTCTCATTGTATGCTTAAAATGTATGCATTATATTATGTAAATTATATCTCAAATTTTCATAAGGTACAAACATTTAGGGCAAAGAAAACATTTAGAGGATCCCTTGCTCTAGGATCAAGTCCAAACTCCGAAACATTCCTTAACATGATCTAATTCCAGTACATATTTAACAATGTTTGATTCATGCCCTGCCACTTATTCTAAGCTACTTGTAGTTCCAAGAACTGCTAGTCTCTCCTGAATTTTATTTCCTGTAAATCTTTAACCATAATAATCATTTTTTTCTAGAATTCCATTTCCAGTTCCCATTAATCTCTAAATATTTGAAATCCTTCAGTATTTACACAAAGCACTTCCTCCAACAAGCCTCATCTTCTTCCACTCTGTATTAGGTGCTTCCCCTCTTGCTCCTATATAATCTTAAGTTCTTTTCTAGCAAAGCATATATTACTCTGTAATATAGTTGTCATAATAAAAATCACAAAATTATAGTGGACATGGCCCATTTCGTGTACAGGCAAATAGTCTTTTACATATTCATTAAGCCCTGAATTAAGATTAATTTCTATCCAAAATGGCTGCGGTAAGGTTCATCACCCAAAATTACCAAGAAAATTCTTCTATTCAATATGACTTACAGAGTTGCAAATAATTTAGATTTCATCACAAATAGCACTTTGGTTTTATACTACAATTAGTATACATCTTATTGATATGTGGGTTAACTAACTTTCTATGGGCCTAGCCAGAATTTAGTATGTTGTTTCTATGGGAAAATGCATTTTACATACAATCAAGTGACTCAAAGATACTGCTTGTTGAATCATGAAATTGCTGATATTCAAGCAATTTTGACCTACAAATGTGGCCGTTTCATATGGTTCAACCTAAATAAGTTTAAAATGTAATCCTATTGTTAAGTTAGAGATTGCCTATACATTGATTTATTAATTCAATGTTTAATAGATAATGTATTTTGCAAGTTACTAATCCTGCTCCTTAAGGGTATTAGTTGTAATTGTCCCATATAAACCGTGAATAAATCACAGGGTTGTGAAGAAAGTTCCTATGGCATGTTAGGGCTTTTTTGGGTCTAAGTTATTTTTTCCCAACTAATAAGAGATGAAACAGCCTTGAAGACTCTGGGATTGTTATTTTTTGAACTAACCTTGGAATGAAAATGCAGATTCATTTCTTCTTTTATAAATTCAAAATTAAGCAGTCCATTTTGAAAATAAATTCTTATTAGTAATAGCTGACATTTATTGAGCATGTGTTATACGCTGGCTACTGTGCTAACCCTACAACTGTTTTATGAGGAAAGTACTATTATTATCCCTGTTTTCAGATGAGTAAATTAAAACTTAAGTAACTTGTCCCCAAGTTTGCACAGATAGTAAGTGGTAGAGTTGGAATTAGAATTGCTCTAACGCCAACTGCCTGCTGTTCACCTCAAGCACATCTTTTCACATCAAGGAAGCACTCATGCTGAAAGACTATGATTCAATTCAGCTATGATTCACTATAATTATCATTAATGAAACCAGACCCACTCATACAGGAAACATACTGTATTATTATGAGCAATGATTATGAGACAGCAGAGGACCAAATATGAAAATGAGTCTTTTATCTTTTTCTTTGAAGCAAAACATTCATTGGTACATTTTAGATATACATAATGATAACATTCATCATAGGGAATTTGTACCTGCACATGATATATCTTGCTTCTTTTTTTCCCATTAAAAACTCATATTTTATTCAGATATATCATTGTATGACAACTTCATAGTTAAAGATAGGCAAGCATAACTCCTTTATGCCAAAGGTTGAAATTTTGTGCATAAAATTCATATATGTTACCTAGAAAACTTCAAACAATAACAATTTAAAGAGAAAAAATTTTCATAGTTTCCACTGTTACATGGTATTCCAAAAATGGAACACTTGGCATAAAGGGATTAATGTTTCCTTAAAGACTATTGAACAATATAGGAAAAGTAATCAACATTTTTATTTCATCAAAATGAGTCTTTAGACCTCAAATTTTGTAGCAGTTTGAGAAAGGGAGAGATTAATTGTGCACTTTGTTATGACTAACTCTCACAAGAGCAGTGACATACCTATTGTCTCAGTATGGGATTCTGAACACTCTCAAAGAAGCCAGAAGTACAGCATAAATAAGGGTGGCAAAAATCACAAGTATCTAATAATGAAATGTATGGGAGAGCAGCAAACTCAAGGCTCATTCTAGGTAGGCATCATTACTGTGTGAGGGAAGTTAGAGATTTATGGCAGGAGCCAGGTGTGGTGGCGCACGCCTGTAACCCCAGCACTTGGGAGGCTGAGGCAGGAGGATTACCCTGAGTTTGAGGCCAGCCTGGACTACATAGTGAGTTCAAGGCCAACCTGAACTATATAATGAGACCCTGTCTCAAAATAACAAAACAAACAAACAAAAAAAACAAATTTGTTGTGGGGCTCTATCAACCCTAGAAATTTATGGACAAATGTGACCTAATGGACTATCCATGAGATATTCAGATATTAACCAAAATTTCATGCCTGTTTGGAATAATAATGATATAACTTTACAGTGGAAGGGAGGACTCACACTTTAGCCACACTGAATTTATGGTGAAGGTAGACTGTCTTTTGAAAGGTACTTTTTTTCTGGTGTCTGTGGCTGACTAGGGTCAACCTGTGATTCACATACTTATTATTTTTACAGATGGCCTTGCTGAATTTCTTCTTCCCTAATGAAAAGTCATACTCTGAAGAGGAAAGCAGGCGTGTTTACCGCAACAAAAGAAGCAAAAGCAGTGAAGGAGCAGATGGTAAGCCTACTCAGGTGATCTTTTATTACTTGAGTTATCTTTCAATAGAAATATCCTTTATTGCCAGGTGTGGTGGCCCATGCTTGTAATTCCACCTATTCAAGAGGCTGAGGCAGGAGGATCACAAGTTTAAGGCCAGCCCAGACAACAAAGACCCTAGTCTCAAAAAGAAAAAAATTAAGTGAGCGTGGCTAGGGTTATAGCTCTGTGGTAGAGCACTGGCATAGAATGCATTAGTTCCTAGGTTCAATCCTCATTATTACAAAAGAAAAACACCCTTTAGCATCTTATATATTGACTACATTCCCAAGGTCACAGAAGATTTCTCTATTCTAACCTACCAATCAATCCTTTGACATAGAACAAACTATACAGGAATCTTCCATCCTCCAACTCCAGACACACCATTCTCTTCTTAATATGTCTGAGAGCCATGGTAGCATTTGTATCACCCTGCATGATACCTACTTTCTCCTGGGGTTATCCCACATCTCTTCGGGCAACAAAGATGATTTGGTCCTATTTTCAGAATTGACAGAATGCATTGGCATGCTCACACTTACATAATGTGTTAATGTCAATGATAATCATATCAATGTTGATATCTGGTACTATGTCCAAATCTAGATCTGATCTATAAGTTCATTGAGGGCAAGGATTCATTTATCTTTGTATAACTCAAGAATCTGGCCAAGTATTTGGTTATTGTTGGTATTTGGAATGTAAGTTTATTATGTTGACTGATTGTTCAGCCTGCCACCAATGGTAACCATTCCTATTATGGGTCTAGTAGCTTTGAATCAAGTACAAATGCATTTTTTGTGACATAAAAATGTTGAGCTACCTCCAGGTTAGTGTCTTTGAATCACCCTATTTCAGAATTATACTGTCAATTCACAGAATGCTACTCTTCTGGCACAGAGGTTTATAGAATGCAAAACTCTGGGTGCAGCAAAGGTATCTGATTTCAAAGACAGCATCTGTCAGGGTACATCTGCCAATGGCATGTGTCTGGAGGGGGTTTCACAGCAATATGACTTTTAAAAGATGGAAATGAGATTTTTAAGCTATCATTTGTCAATGTGAGTAAAAGCCAGTGATGGAGGGAGTTGTTGATGGATGCAGTTGTAGAGGTGGGAGCTATTGAAAAATGGGAACCAGGTATGGTGGCACACACCTGTAGTCCCAGTACTCTGAGCAGCTGAGGCAGGAGGATTGCAAGTTTGATCTCAGCCTGGGTGAGTTAGCTACTTAGAGAGACCCTGTCTCAAAAAAGAAAATGGAAAAGAAGGCTGTGGGTTCAATCCCCAGTACCATGCAAAAGAAACAGAGAAAGTGTGTGTGTGTGTGTGTGTGTGTGTGTGTGTGTGTGAGAGAGAGAGAGAGAGAGAGAGAGAGAGAGAGACAGAGACAGAGACAGAGACAGAGACAGAGACAGAGAGAGAAACAGACAGACAGACAAATGGGGCCAGGACTTCATCAGTATGGCAAGAAGTAAAACTTGATGAAATCTGAAAAACATAGAACTCAGGGTAATGACCTTGTAATTAAAAAGAGAGAAAGAACAATATGATGGAGTAGGGTTTTATAGTCAGTGGAGCTGGCAGTGGCATTGAGTCATTGAATGTAGAACTTAGCCAGTGGGGCCTTTCTCTTTAACAGACATTTTTCAGAAAAGTTTCTTGGAAGTGTTTTGGCTAGGTTCAATCTGGGAACTGAGAAGGTTTTACCTTTCTTTTCCTCATCATCTCACTCTCTGATGCACGTAAGTCTTTCCAGATTTGACTCTTTCTCTCAGTCTATTTTTAATACTAGCAAATCTTTATAACTTGTGATTGCTGAGGAGGAGGTGGTAAGAGCAGTGCCACCTTCTATAGTGGATGTGGTCTTTCTTCCCTTTCCATGTGGGAAGTCTAATGTCTTTAAGATTTATTTCTTCATTTTGCCACCCAAGTTGTCTCTTTATTAAGACAATTTTCCTTTATTTGCCAAACAACTTTATCTGGATCTGGCTACCACCATTTCTAATACTAGTAATATTCCATTTAGATAGAAAACAGTTTTTCTCGCTAGTGAAGCCTAAAGCCTGTCTTATTGATTTTTAGCACTTCTAATCTACTTCTGTCTTAGTCTAATACTCTAGTCAATCACTAGACTCTAGTCAGTTTGTACCAATGTCACGTTTTTCATGCAGTCTTGGTATTTTTCATTCCTCAGTGCAGCCTTAAAAAATTTAAGAGTGTCTTGAAGTTAGGGGTATGTAATGTTTTAGGGTCCTGGGATTTTATACTACTTTTAGCCTTTCTCTCACCTTGGAGACTATGAAACCGTTTTTTCAGATGTGTCAAATGCCCCAATGAATTAAAAGGAGATGAGCTAGTCTAGTCTCTCTTTGTTTTGTACCATTCGTGTTAGTCTGCTGAATGAATGCTATACCTGTTCAATACGTTTTTCAAATATTTACTGAGCAAATATAGCAGTTTATATAATACTGGAAAGAAATTTCATAAGGATTTTTGTGATTGTTTTATTTTATATCTCCACTGCTTAGAAAAGGACCTGGCATATTATAGACCTTCAATAAATATTTTTGTTCTCACAAGGAACTTTGTAGTGCAGAGGCAGACAATAAACAAGGTTAATGGCGATAAATGCTGTGAAGAAAAATATAGCATAGAAAGAGGGTGAGATAGCGATGGGGTTAATGCTATAAGGTCATGGAGGAAAGTCTCTGTGATAAGTGAACCCTTGAGATGTATCCTAAGTGAAAGGCAGATTGGAGCCATGTGTATTTCTGAGGGAAGCAAAAAGAGAAGATATAAAAACTCTCAGGCAGAAGAATCTTTAGTATGGTCCAGAAAGAACAGTAAGACTGATATCACAGTAAGCAAGAGGGTGAATGAAAGAGAAGAGGCCAGAAAGTAAAATCCAATCTAGAGCTCTGTGGGGCTTTATGAAGAGTCTCACTTTATTCTGCATGAGACAGGAAAGTACTAGGGGAGTTTGTGCAGAAAAGTGGTAGGATTTGACTTAGACTTTAATAGACTCTTTCTGACTGCTATATTGAATTTAGGTGCAGGAACAACAACAGAAGCAGAGAGACTCATTAGGGAGGCCAGGGTGGAGGCAGAGTGAATTATTTGAAGTAGACAGATTCTGGCAAGATTTTAAAGGAATGGTCATTTGAAGGAATCCGTTCAGTGGAAATCACCCACACTGCTTCTACCCTGGCCTGTGCAACTTCATTACTCGCCATCTTCCTAATGAATCTCCCTGCTTCTGTTCTTTGTTCCTATACCTATTAGATGAAAGATATAGAAGAGCCAAGAGTGACCCCAGAGTTTTGGATTTAAGGAACTAAACGAGTGGAATTGTCATTTGTAAAATGGGGAAAACATAGGAGGAATAGTCCAGAGGAATACGGAGGAAGAATCAAGAATCTAGCTATGCCTGTTAAATTTGAGGTGCCTGTTAGAAAGCCAAGTGGGTATATCTAAGTCTACACTCTTCATCACAGTCTCAAGACAATTAGCTGATTGTCTTTTATGCAAATAAAAGACTTCTCTTTGAAGAAGTGAGTCAGACCTATAAACTATTCTGAACAGTTATTAGGTAAGGATAGGCAAATCAGAGTGGAATAAGTTAAGGCCAAAATAAAAACTGCCAAGACAATAAAAAAACAATCTTATGCATTAAAATTTTGGCTACCCATCTTAGATTTGGTTTGCAAATTTCAAAGAAAAGGTGATTTACCTCGAAAAGTTAAATAACTTCAAGGGCTGGGGATTTAGCTCAGTGGCACTGCATCTGCCTCGCAAGCGCAAGGTCCTGAGTTCGATCCCTGGTACCAAAAATAAATAAATAACTTCAAGAAGAAAATATTTTTCAAAGAACAAAAGTAGAAACTAATATAAAGGAGTGCAGGAAAAATCAGTTCTAGTTTCTTGTATTTATTTTATTTGTTACTATCCTTTGATTTTGTTTCAATTTCCAAACTATTTTATTGTTATTTAACAAGTCTTTTAAGTACTATGAGGAGTGCAAAGATATGTCATGGTTTATATCTAGATATCCCCATAAAGCTTCATGTCCCATAGGTGGGGCTTTGGGAAAGGTGATTGGATCGTGGAGGTAGGATACTCATCAGTGAACTAGACCAGTGATGAGTTTATAGTTAATCATGATGTTCGGAGGTGGAGCCTCATCGAAGGATGTGAGTTACTGAGGGACTGGCCAGGAAAGGCATATCTCCCTCCCTGGCTCCTCCCTTCACTCACTGCTTCTCCACTGCCATGCCATAAACATCCTCTCCTCTACAGTGCCCCTCTGCCATGCCGATCTGCCTTGAAACCACCCAACTATGGACTGAAACTTTTTCAAACTGTGGGTCAAATTAAAGCCTTCCTCCTTTAAGTGTGAGTATCGGGTATTCTTCCCCAGTGCCAAGGAAAGTGACTGAGACAAATAAGGACCCCGAGATTACAGTTTAGCATACGTAGGAGCAGATACATTTCTGGGAAACAGGTTAAGAGTGAAACAAAGTAGAGAAGTAAAGTGGGTCCTGGTATTTTACCTAACACAGGACCAGTACATTGAAGATAGTAAAAAATTGTGAAATGAATGATCAAAGATTCTTTCTTTCTTTCTCTCTCTCTCTCTCTCTCTCTCTCTCTCTCTCTCTCTCTCTCTCTCTCTCTCTCTTTCTTTCGAGACTGGGTCTCACTATGTAGTTCAGAGTGGACTTGAATTCACTATGTAGTCCATAGTTTGAACTTGGGGTGATCCTCCTTCCTCAGCTTCAATAATGCTGGGATTACAGGCATGTACCACCATGCCCAGCAAGATTTTCTATCTAGATTTACTACCTAAAAACTATAGATATTAAACTTAATGAACTTCAGAAATTCCTGTGGTAGGAAAAAATTAACAATGATTCACTAACACATAGGAAAAGGAAAGAATATGATGATCCTTAGGATCTTGCATATATTCTCCAAGAA